GGGGGGGGGTGGGGAGGGGGGCAGTGAAGCAGAGGAATGGTTGGGATTTCCTTTTCTAAAGAGGTGTAGAAGTAGTTTAAGTTAACATGTCCTTTTAAATAATAAGTTCCTTTTTCTTTTTTTACAGGTGCGATGGCTGCCACATGGAGCCCATTGAAGGTCCTCGCTTCAAATGCAAGACGTGTCCTGACTTCAACTACTGCGAGACGTGCTTCAGACTGCGCCGCAGCCACCGCCACTCCTTCCACCGCTTTGAAGAGCCTAGCAGTATCCCCGTCAACGCTGGGAAAGCCGGACGGAGTAAAAAGAAGATTTTGTCCGGGGGATTAGGGGGACCTGAACACATCGTCAAGGAATGGGACCGAGTGGTAAAGAGCCTGATGGTGTCTTCGCGCGAGGGCCAAGCAGGAAGGCTTATTGACGGCACAGAGTCTTACTGGCAGTCCGCAGGGTCACAGGGAAAGGTGAGGCCCTTGAGAAGCCAGTATCGTTTAACTGAGGGTAGATTTGTCAATATGCAATGTCGTGATTTATCTTACCGGCCCAAATTCGCAATTTGCTAGTCAGAAGTCATGTCTACTGTTCTACTGTTCTGATATCCTGTGGTATTAAGTCACTATTCTGATATGGCTCCGATATCAAGGTCACTTGCCTGGATTTGGGTACGGTAAATACCTAATCTTACCTTTTTGGCGGCAAATGAGGATCATTTGGTCTCGCCATGGGTATTTTAGCTCGACTACGTCTCGCCAAAATACGAAACATGGCGCGACCAAACTCCCTGATATGCAACCGAAGCGTACCAAAAAGCTATGATTAGGTATAAGTACAAAATCATTCAAATTTTAAAAAAGTTCCCGCGATAACGGTCTAAAATTTTTGTTAAGCGAAGGCGAAAAACTCTCGGCCAGGCGTATGAGAGCGCTGGGCAACATTAGTGAAATCTGATAGGGTGAAAGCTATTTGACTTTTTCACTCATTGTACTGGGTTAGTGTAAGTGCATTCATTTCCTTTGCCTTAACTCCTCTGTCCTCTTACAGCACTGGATTCGTATCGAGCTACACCCCGATCTTCTGATCCAGCGGTTGACCATGACAGTTGATCCATCTGACAGTAGTTATATGCCATCAGTGGTGGTCATATCAGCCGGTGACAGCATTCAATCCTTGAAAGAAGTTAAAACTGTGCACATCAGTGCTACTGACTCACTGTGCACGTTGCTGGAAGATGCTCAAGAGGTGTGTGACTGACTTTTCATGTCATATTTCATGTGACTATCCATAGGGAAAGACTTTTAAGATTGGTCCCCTTCCCCAAAACTCCCTCGCTAAAAGTCCTTCGATATTAATCACCTCTCTAGAAGTCAGCTCATGGACATTACCTGTTTATTACGCTTCATTTGATTGGACATTCACTGATTGTAGACTTTGTTTTTTTATATAGTTTAGTTATGTCAGGATTTGTCCTTCTGGTGTAAATCTAACAAGATTTAAACGCAAGATTGCTTCTAATATCTAGCCCAATCTCCCCATCAGCACCTAACCCTTCTCACATTAAGTTTTGCAAAAGATGCTTCTATCGAGTACATACTTGTAACATATTTCCTAGTGATATCTTATGTCTTCGTTTGTATGTTTTGTCTTTGTTTCTTTTGTCTCTAATCCTAAATGAACCCTTGTGTCATCTCAGGAATACCGCTTCCTGGAAATCGGCATCCGACAGTGTAAGAGTAGTGGCATCGACTGTAAGATCCACGGAATCAGTCTGACAGCTCGCGCAAAAGCAGATGAAGACGACATGGCTGCAAGCTTTTCATTCCTGGCGTTAGACGAGGAGGACGAGGCAGCCAGGCAGAGACGAGCGCTGAGAAGGAAACCGACCTCCACTGAGCCCACCCAGGAAGGGCAAGTCAAGGTGTTCGTGTGGGGTCTGAACGATAAAGATCAGCTCGGAGGGCTGAAGGGATCCAAGGTAATCAAATAATGGATTGAAACGAGACTTTCTAGTTTCATGTCTTAACGTTTGCTTGAAGGTGCGTTTGCTTTATGATTAATAGAGCAGTTCGGGTTTAATCGGTTCCTGCTGTAATGGGAAGGGGAGAGGCGGTGGGTGGGGCGGGGGTGAAGACTTAACACCTTACAGTGCCATTCCAACCGGGGAATAAATGCGTACCGGTGAACCGACAGGGCAACCTTGCAACATGTTGTCTACAGTCAGCAATGCATTAGCATCCCAGCCGGGGAAGAGCAGAATATTAATACTTGTAGTCACTTTACTTAAATTAAATTAAACCTAAGTACAAGCAACAGTGAACTGTGTAGTGCCTTCGCCGTATTTTGAAATTACTCTACTATTTTGGGGATGTAAACTTTGCCACTCTGTAAAAACAGGGAGGTCGAGTAGCCGCGAAACTTCTGTATACCAGAATATTTGACTTGTCTTTTATTCCTAAGTTTTACGAGTAGGAAAAAAAGGCGTTGCTTACCAGAATACAGTAACGTGAAAAATAAGATATATTTTTTTCTTGTTTAGATTAAAGTGCCGATGCTTTCCGATGTGGTGTCAGCTCTCAAAGTTCAGCAAGTCTGTGGCGGTTCAAAGAGTTTATTTGCTGTTACATTAGAAGGAAAGGTGTTTGCGTGCGGAGAATCAACCAACGGGCGCCTGGGCCTAGGTCCTGTGTCGGGTAACGTGCTAGTGCCCCGTTTGATTGAAAGCCTGAGTCAGTTCGTGGTGAAGAAGGTCTCGGTGCATTCTGGGGGTCGCCATGCAATGGCTATCACAATCGAGGGCAAGCTGTTCGCGTGGGGGGAGGGGGAAGATGGAAAACTTGGACATGGAAACAAAATGTAAGTCGTGATGTTGACAACGGTTTTGTGCGATATAAACACTCACCCTACCGCACCTTATCCTACGCTGTTGACAAAAGAAAAAGTAAAACAACAACAACAAAAAAAGGTTAACTTTTATGGAGTAATTTAGATAGTTGTGAACGACCAGAAATTAAAACATTTCGACAAATAGTTGATAATATTCAGATTTCAGTTGGTAAATATATATTTCTTATGTAGCACTGATGATTTAACGGAACGTGACAAATTATGAGGCAATAAGAGTGCAGACAAATGTGTGGTTTTAACATCTTGTTGTTCCTTTTTGATTGGCGGGGAAAAATGACTATGTCTAACCTTGATACCACAAGCCTTCAAATATTGCGTAAACAGAACTTCATAATATCTGATCAGTTTCTGTTATTTTTGAGGATCACTGTTTGTAATAAACAAAACTATTAGTTTCGAACATGACCTTCGTTTCGCGGTTGAACTGTGTCAGGGTGTCTGTCTAGTGTCTTGTTTGTTTGTTTGATTTGTTTTGTTTTTTGTTTTTGTTTTGTTTTTTTGTATATTTGTTTTTAAGATGTTCGGGTATTTTAAAAACCATTGTAACCATTATAGCGACACTCCTATGTTTCCTTCCATGTAGGAACTACGACCGCCCTCAACTGGTTGAAGCCCTGAAAAGCAAGTCTGTACAGGAAATCTCCTGCGGTAGTTCCCACAGTGCAGCCGTCTTGGCCACTGGCGAGCTCTTCACTTGGGGCCTGGGTGAATACGGCCGGCTGGGGCATGGAGACAACCAGACACAACTTAGACCTAAACTGGTTCGAGCCCTGTCAGGTCATCATGCGATAGACGTTGCCTGCGGCAGTCGTGATGCCCAGACTCTCGCACTCACTAACGACGGTTACGTGTGGTCGTGGGGGGATGGAGACTTTGGAAAGCTGGGGCGAGGCGGAAGTGAGGGCTGCAGTGTGCCACATGTCGTGGAGAGACTCAAGGGACAGGGCGTGTGTAAGGTGTTGTGTGGAGCCCAGTTCTCACTCGCTCTTACAAAATCGGGACAAGTGTGGACCTGGTAAGGAGTGCACATCTTTTCTTAATATTACCATGTAGACATTTCACGAAGGACGTACTTTTGTTTTTGTTTCTTGATCTTGTAGTTTATACTTCGTAGTTTTGAAGGTGAACTGGTTGTTTTATTACAACTACTAGGTCAGCAAAAATGAAAATCTCAGTGTTCTATGCTATTTTCTATTATTTTGCAGGGGTAAAGGAGATTATTTTCGCCTTGGGCATGGTAATGACTCTCACGTTCGTAAACCTCAGATAGTGGAGGGGCTGAAATCTTACAAAGTGGTGGACGTTGCTGTTGGAGCATTGCATTGCTTAGCTGTAACAGAAGAGGGCGAGGTAAGCCGGCTCAATTGGAGTCTTCTCCAGACATGCAGAAGACTTCTTGTTAAATAATATTTACAGTTACGCATTCTTTATTTGTCTTGCGTGAAAGGATGGACAAAAAGGTTAACTGCGTGGCGCGAAAATGTGAAGGATTATTTCAAATAGTGTAATCAGTCATGTCTGGAGTCTGATGCTTGAATTATTTCTATCTGGATCATATTTTTGCCATGTTTTTTTCCACTAACGGTAAAATTTCCACTCTTGCCATCTTGCCGTGTGAAGACACAAGGGAGCACTGTCCGGTCTGTTGTGAGCGTGTCAATTATGTGAGCTATTTTTCTGATGAATATCTTGGAAAAGCCAGAACATTGTCAAGCAAGGTGCTTGATAACTCAGCTACCAGATGATCATTATTATCTTCAGTTCAATCACTAAATTCTCCTTACGAAGTTTTAAGGCAAATCTATTCCAACATGTAAGAAGAGTTCGCATTTAATGCGAATCAACGAATGTGTTTCTTTATGGGAGAGGGGCGAATGCCAATCGCTAGCCACTTTTTACGCGCAGGTAAAGATTACCGCCTAAGCTTTGTGTAGTTTTCAAATTTCTTAATTTTTTCCTCTATTTCATGATTTCAGGTTTACGCTTGGGGTGACAATGACCATGGCCAACAAGGAAATGGCACTACCACTGTCAATCGCCGTCCTCAGTTAGTCCAGGGCCTTGAAGAATTCAAAATCACTCGTGTGGCTTGCGGCTCCTCACACAGCATGGCCTGGGCCGAGTCTGATTTCCCGGCGCCCACCGCGCACGAGCCCGTGATGTTCCCGGCGTCCCGAGATCCACTGGGAGCTTCAAGTCTCGGTTCAGACTCCCAAGAGCAGAGTACTTCCGCGGCAGAAACAGAAAGCAACGAGTACGGAGAGCACAGACACAGGCCATCTCTAGCAAAAATCGTGCTTTCATTGAACAGTAATTACGAAAGACAGCAAGCACTGAGCCATATCCTAACTGCTCTCCAAATCATTTACTCGCGAGACGCGGTAGTGCGGGCCCTTATGGACCCTCATTCCTTTATCCGCGGGGACTCCAAACCCACGGAGAGTGAAGACGATGAAGCTGTTGCTCTAGCTTCCGCTTCAGACGTTTCGATCGAGGACGTGGCGTTCACGGAAGTGTCTAGTGCAAGTGTTTCTCGAAAGACGATGATTGCAGGCGTGGACGAGTTCACCGACAGCCTGGGGCACGATGACTCGCGGCTACTAGTCGAGTTGTTAAAGCTTGCCGTGGCTGATCGAGCTGGAGATAACGGTAAAGAAGTGTTGTCTGAGGTTTTGAAGGCTCTGGCTCAAACCAAACCAGAGGTAAGCTGCGAAGGGGACTTAGCGAAACGACGCTGGAACACGCTTAAACCGCAAACGAACGAACGAACGAATGAACGAACGAGAATTTAATAGACGAACGAACGACAGCGGGCGGACGGACGGACGAACAAATGAATGAAGGAATACCAATAATTTTGGGTCTGAATACAATTGCAATGGAGGGTTATTGCTTTGATGCGCCATCATATTCTCACGGCCTACATTTCTTGTGCCAAGTCTAAAGAACACTGCTTTAATATTTCTAGAGTTATTCTCGATTGAGTATTTGCTGTTTTATTGGAACCACCTATGACATCATCACTTTCCTCATTTGCATAATTCAAAAACGTAAATATCTCTGAAACGAAAAAAGATATTTCAAAAAGGAAAACGCCGTTCTTCTTTACTTTGAAAAGCCTTCTAAATAAGCGGCGATAATTTTTTGCTTCATAAGCACTTTAAAGAATGTATGTTTTCGGTAAGGAGAAATTTCTCTTTTGACGTATAGGTTGCCTCCATGCTCCTTGAGCTGTGCATCACAGAGCTGGAAGACGTGGCAACCGACAACAGCAGCGTGCACAGCAGCTTCCAGCCCGTGGTACAGGAGAGCAGTCATCCATATACAGATGATACTAACACCACAGGTGTGGTCAAGATACCAGGAGCCGAGGGGCTCAAAGTCGAGTTTGACAAACAGTGTTCCACAGAGAGAAGGTAAGTATAAACTGCAAGGCAGATTGAGGTTTTCTAGTTTGTTGTAAACAAATTCTGGTGTTGAATTGCAGAAGAGTATTTTGTTCCTAGGTGAGTGATATTATTCGTTTACGTGGGCACGCGGGGCCTTTCTCTTTCCTAAGCATATTCTGAGGTTGTTTTGGCTCCTCATTGGATGGAGTTAATCTGGGTTGTCCTCTTCGGTTTTTCCCTCAGTTATATATAGTCTACGAGAAGTTAGTGTTATATTTAATTCAAAATTAAACTTCGCATCTTTGTAAATTACTAAGCCGCACGATGCTAACTGAGTGGTTGACTCTGCTAAAAGAAGTAATCATGACGTTATTTGTTCAGGCTTAAGAAAATCTAATTCAACGAAGTTGAGCGTAGATGTTTGGTGATTATTTGGTCCGTCGAGGCTACAATGTAGGTTGTGATTTTGTAGATATATTTGGAATGGGAATTAATTCGGTATTTGACGTTGAATTACTTTTCTGTCTTTGTGTGTGTCTACTATGTTTGGGTGAACGTTTATTACCATTTGCCAGGTGATATACAAGTCTAGTGATTTTCACGATGGAATTTTTATTCTAGGCATGATCCGCTGACCATCATGGACAGCACTGGTAGGGTAGTCTCTGTCCGTTCCGGCCGTGAGTGGTCAGATTGGTCCAGCGAACTGCGCATGAGCGGCGATGAGCTTCGTTGGAAGTTTGTGAGTGACAGCTCTGTTAACGGATGGGGCTGGAGATTCACTGTGTACCCAATCCATCCGGCCGCCGCGCCCTGTGACGTGCTTTCGGACAGAGCATTGCAGTCTAGACCGTCCATTGACTTGGTCCGCTGTCTTTTGGGTGAGTGTTAGAGGGATATACTCAGTGGTTCTTTGTGGTGTGTGGAAGACGAGGTGGCATAATGGTTGGCACGCTGGACTCAAGACCGTCTGGGCTGGGTTCGAACCCTGGTCGGGATCATCGTACTCATTCTTTGAGGTTTTTGAGCTGGAAGCTAATCTTCTGTTTTTAACTGTCTAGTTTTCTGTTTTGTACAGTAAAGGAGCTACGTCACGCTTGGCGCATCTTGAAAGGCGCCTTAGGCGTAGCCTAGATTTTTCAAGTTCGTCGTTTGTAATCCGTGTCAGTCTTCTCCATCCTTAACCGTCTTTGTTCCTTTATGGTATATTATTATCTCGTTAGTGTTTTTCTATCGTAGTAAATAATTATTTTCAGGTTTCCTTCAATTTAAAGGTAATTTTGTACTTGGCCAAAATAACTCAAAATACCGTGAAGGTGTTCCTTTAATTGATGGCAACACTGTACGTTTTCTATTTACAGACTTTAAACTGGAAACTCTTGGAGACGCGGCCCAGATCCCTCGTGTGGCCTCTTCATTATCTGCATGCGCACAACTGAATACTCTGTCTGCCACTCAGCGAACGTGGGCTCTTCATCGCTTGAGAAAGCTTGTGATGTCAGAAGTTGGACCAGTGATAGATGTACCGGCCCTGTTTGGTTATAATCTGATGTACGATCAGCCACTCATTAAAATGAAGCACGTCGGTAACCAACGAATGAACGCGGTATGCACTTCGCTTTTAATATGAGTATTTATTTTATGGCTAGCTCCGAAAGCGGGCAAGATAAGCCAAATTCTGTGCTGTGATTGGCTACCCGTTGGGGCAAGATGGTGCTATCTTGCCCGCTTGGGACTACTCGCTGTTTCCCACAAGAAAAATTATCTCGAAAGCTATTTACTAAGTCATTCATTGACCAAGCTTGTTTGGTCAAGATGGCTGCTGGATATTGGCCACGTTCCTCTTTTTGCGAGTTTATAAACACGCAAGAAAACGAACTTGGCCAATATCCAGCCATCTTGACCTCACGCTTGGTCAATAGCCGGTTAGTAAGTATGTGTTTGTAAAGGGCATTTATTTGTTAAGACAGGAGGAATAGTCCGGTTTCGAGTTATCCGAGTCCGCTGAACCAAAAGAGTATAGAATCATCTGTGTAGTGTTAGTCTTAGTCTGAAGTTATTCACAAAATGCCGGTATTGTGTCGTTAAACTTGAAACGTGAGGTGATGTTCTCATGTTTAAATCGGGATGCATATTCCTTTGAGAATTTGTTAAAGTTCTTTTCGTAGCCTGAATTTACCTTGCAAAATTCATCTCCATTGTTTGGTTAGATTTGAATTCCATGTTTTTTTTTTTTCTCCTTGAGTTAAAGTTATTATGAAGTTGTCTCGAGTATCATCTTTCAGTGATCCGATCTAAACGTTCTCAATTGTCTTGTCTATCTCCAGGCTGTTGCATCCTCGGCTCTTGGAAAGCTAGTTCGAGGCCTCCCCGATACTTTACAAAGACAATACGAGTACGAAGAACCGCTTGTTCGTGGAGGGAAACATCTTTTTCACAGCGACTTTTTTAAAGTGAGTACACAAGTGACTTGTCCATGCATGTTGTAGTTTGAGGGGTTCACATTGTGAGATTTTTTCGGTCATTCTCTTTCTACATGGCTGAATCCTCAAGCTCTGTTTTTCAAATTGGGGTTCGTTGTGTATTGTTTTTTTTAAGTGGCCGGTATCTCATGTCGATGTGTTGCGAGACACTGTGTGTAGTCTAGGCTCGCAATTGACCTGATCTTTGTACGATCGAATCTCTCTCTTCAAGAGAGTCAGTTCCACCATGCTCCACTGCATAAAATATTGTCTACTAAAACTACCGACAGAAACATTGCATATCAAGGTGGCCAGTACCGCGGTAACGGGCTAGTCTGTCTGNGTCCCTCTGATTGGACGGTCACCTGGGGCGGGGGTGGTACCATATACGGCTGGGGCCACAACCATCGTGGACAGCTGGGCGGAATTGAAGGCGGGAAAGTTAAGTTTCCACAGCCTTGCGAGGCGCTTAGTGCTATCAGACCCGTGCAGATTGTTGGAGGCGAACAAACCCTGTTTGCTGTGACAGCTGAGGGAAAGGTCTGTTTGTTTGTTTTACTGCTTTATTGCTTGCTTTTGATTCAGACGTTATTGTTGGCTTCTTACAGCCTTTGCTTCAAAAGGCCGGAAAAAATTACGCTGAACTTCAGCGCTGTTAACACGCGCACACTTGCGTTGTTAACCTCCCTGGTTGTCCACTGTTTTGTCCAGGTGTACGCCACCGGTTATGGTCATGGCGGACGTTTAGGACTGGGTGGAACAGAAACAGTGACATCAGTACGACTGATAGAATCTCTACAGCACGTGGTAATTAAGAAGGTCGCTGTGCATTCTGGGGGTAAACACGCCATGGCGCTTTCTATGGACGGTGATGTGTACTCCTGGGGCGAAGGGGAGGACGGGAAACTGGGGCATGGAAGTCGGGGGTGAGTATTATGCCTTAAAAGAAAATGTTGTGTGTTGAGAATCGGATACAATTTATTTTAGCCTGTATGTTTTAGACTCGGTGTATTTCATGGGGTTGAAATTGTATTACGTTTCTCAATAACGCTCTTATACCATAGATTCTAAGAAAAAATATATCACAGTAAATCTTTGCATTGGTATGGGAAAAAAAACGGAAAGGGTATAGCTTACTTTTGTCAGGCAAGGCAACCCGCCAGTTAACACAGGTTTCATATATTTTGTCAACAGTTTTTTAGTGTTTCTTGTTGTTGTTCTTGTTTTCACAATCTTTTTATATTCCTCTTAACTTAGCAGCATTTTCTCAGAGCACTGCCCTTACTGCCGTTCGCTTCAAACAGAAAAGAAAGAAAAACTCGTAGAACAGAGAGTGTGGCTATTTTTCCTTGACCATGCATTGAAATATGGCCTTGAGTAAACCAGTAGTTTGCTCTCTGAAGTGTTATTGGAAGTATTTACATAAAATACCCACACGCCTGATGTTGTTCATTTGCAGCTTGTGTGATCGTCCACGCGTCATAGAAGCCCTGCGCGGCAAATCGATCGTCGACATCGCGTGCGGCGGTTCCCACAGCGCTTGTATCACGAATAGCGGAGAGCTGTACACCTGGGGAAAGGGAAGGTACGGACGACTCGGTCATGGTGACAGCGAAGACCAAGTATTGCCAAAGCTGGTGGAAGCGTTACGCGGACAACGTGTCATAGACGTAGCCTGCGGTAGCGGGGACGCTCAGACCCTGTGCCTGACTGATAACGACTGTGTATGGTCCTGGGGTGACGGGGATTACGGCAAGCTCGGCCGCGGAGGAAGTGACGGCTGTAAGATCCCTATGAAGGTGGAAGCGCTGATTAGAGCTGGGGTGTGTAAGGTCGAGTGCGGGTCACAGTTCTCTGTGGCGCTGACCAAGTCTGGTGCTGTGTACACCTGGTAAGTATAGGGTAGGCTCGATCTTGCCTGCCGAAGTTGTTGTGGCGAACTGGTACACTGATTTAGAAACGAAACGTCAGGTTTAAAACTCTATGAAGTTCAACGCGTAGCGACCACTAGGCAATTTCATTAAGGCGGTTTATAACCACATTCTTGTTGTAAAGAGACAGAGATTGTAGGACAAGCAGTAACAAGAAACTTGATCCTGATGTTAAGGCTTAAATTCTTTCATCTCTTCAGGGGTAAAGGTGATTACTATCGCCTCGGTCACGGCTCAGACGATCACGTGAGACGCCCCAAGAGAGTGGCAGCCCTGCAAAACAAGAAAGTGGTTGCTATAGCAACAGGTTCGCTGCACTGTGTGGCATGCACAGACACAGGCGAGGTGTACACGTGGGGCGACAATGACGAGGGACAGCTGGGAGACGGATCAACTAATGCCATCCAGAGACCACGGCTAGTCACGGCTCTACAGGTAATCTACTCAACTCTTTTACGTGCACCGCAGCCTGAACTCACTGGCATCTCCTGGTTGCGTTCTCGTTTTTATCCTTGCAAAAAGGCTCGATTTCGGCCGTTCTCTCGTTCAAGACGCGGGCTCCTTTTCCGAACAGCGGCTGGTAATCGAGGCAGTCTTGCAACAAGGATGTGGTAGAACCAGAGCGCATTAGAACTCTATGCTGACGACGTGCCATTGCCCAGATTTAGTTGATGCATGTGTCCCAGCGACTTGCTCTTACTGCAATGTAAACAACCCAACGATTTAGCGATATAACTCGGATTTAGGAATTAAACAAAGCAAATTTACAAAAGTCAAGTATTTTTTGTACCCAATGCAATGAAGATGGAATGTAAGGGCATTAAAATAACAGCCAGCCGCGCGGAGCTTTGACGGCACTCAATAAAAATAGGACAACTTTTGTTTGGGTTCTGCATAACGTTCTTTAGCCAGTGGTTTCTTTAGAGTAGCTTCTAAGTAACAGTTTTTTGTTGTTGTTTTTTTTTTTCGTGCCATGACATTACAAAAACTTTCGTATGTTGAAGGGTGTTCTAGGATAGGAGACGAGGGCTATGACTGTAAACTATTTGATTTGCCTCTACGATTTTCCTCAAAAGCGCTTATTTTAAAATGATGCTGATGCCGCCTATGTACTGCTTTCCAGGGTAAACAGACAAACCGCGTGGCGTGTGGATCAGCTCACACTATCGCCTGGTCCACTACAAAACCCGCCAATGCCGGTCGCCTCCCCAGGGAGGTCCCCATGGAATTCAACCACCTGCAGCTTATCGCCCTGGGGTCATTAAGAAATCGCCTTATGCTACTCCATCACTTCTCAGAGCTTGTGTGTTCCTCGATCGCCCTGTTTGATCTGCAGCCCCGTATAAAGGATCACCTGGGACAAGGACCTTTAGTAGCGCTGGATGCTTTGAGAGGTGTGCTGATCCCTTCGGGGAAGGTAAGCAATGACCATCTCTCTTGTCCTCTTAGCATAAACAAACTATCAGCTATACAAAACATGCAGTGTCGGTTGGTCAAAAATAAACGCACGAACAGACAGTGAGAGGATCGCATGGATTGAGGCCCTTAGGGTCATATGTACTGTGCAACAAGCAAAGACCAATGTGCCTTCCTCGTTATACGTCTCCGCAAGAAAAAAAAAGACAAAAGATATTTGAAAACAAGTAACCAATAAAGCGTTTTCCATTCATGTGAGAAATTTGGAATTAAAGGTAGCAAAACATAGAATTAACCTTTTGTCTCTTACGTAGAGGGTGGAATCATAATCAAGGGTTCTTTGGGTCTCAGAAAATATGTAACTTGTCAATTTTTATCACTTTTCTAGGAGGCAGCTTTCCGTAAAGTTGTTCAGACAACTATGGTTCGTGATAGACAACATGGTCCTGTGATAGAACTGAACCGTATACAGGTGAGCAGGGAGTTAAGTTAAAAAATTCAAACCAGAACTTTCACCGTTACAGTCGTAATTAAGAGGATTTGTTTTAGAATTGGAGCAATACCTTCAGTTATTAAATTATGTTGCTGGCGTTTTGAAATTCTTTTCAGATCAAGAAGTTCCGGTCTAAGGGCGGTTTGACCGGTCCTGACGGCTCTAAGTCAGTGTTCGGCCAAGCTTGTTCCAAAATGAGCAACTTTGGTCCAGACAGCCTGTTCCTGCCTCACCGTGTGTGGAAAGTCAAGTTCATCGGAGAGAGCGTGGACGATTGTGGAGGAGGCTACTCGGAATCCATCGCGGAGATGTGCGACGAGCTTCAAAATGGCTCCCTCCCCCTGTTGATTGTAACGCCTAACGGAAGGGACGAGTCTGGGGCCAACCGGGACTGCTTCATTCTCAATCCGGACGCAACCTCTCCCGTTCATCTCAGCATGTTCAAGTTCTTGGGCGTGTTAATTGGGATTGCCATCCGGACAGGTAGCCCCCTGAGCTTGAATCTCGCTGAGCCTGTGTGGCAGCAGATGGCAGGTAAGACGAACATGGTCAATTGTCCTTGCACCCCTCTCCCCCCTTCACTAAGGTATGAGACCAATCTGGTGTAATTATTGGAAGGAGCTATTTCTCTTCCCTGTCCTCTTCTGAATTGATTTCAGTAACGCCCGTTTGGCAGTTATAGCCATTTGAATTTTATTGAATATGGGTTGGACGAGCTTGAGGTTTCGAGTTCAGGTAGGGCAAGACATGGGTACGAGCAGATACAAAATTTAGGGTTTTATCTTTGTTTCAGCATATTTCCTATTGTACGCACAAGAAGGGAAGACCCTATTTATGTTCTTGTTGTGAAAAGAGCGTCCTGTTGAGCGAGTTGCCTTCGGAGGAAAAGTTAGGTTTACGAGGGAGTGAACCATATACTTTACTCGCCCAAATTCAGCTGAAGGTCAAATAACTTTTTTGACACCTCTTCGTGTACCTTCGCAATAGTATTGTTGATATGCTGATGCTCTTCTCGTCAGGGATGTCTTTGCGAAAGACCGATTTGGCTGAAATCGACAAGGATTACGTGCCCGGTCTGATGTGCATCCGGGACATGGAGCGTGAAGCATTTGAAGCCATGGAAATGCCGTTCAGCACTCCAAGCGCCAGCGGTCAGGAGGTACAGCTGCATAACAAGATCAAGAGAATCACACTGGACAATAGAGAGGAATATGTGCGATTAGCACTTCATTACCGCTTGCACGAGTTTGATCTTCAGGTATTCTGATTCCCTTGATAACTGCTCTCGGTCAATAAGGGCTCGCAAGCACAAGGCAAATCTTTGTATAATTTGCGAAAAAAAAAACTGTTATCAGTTCCGTGAGACAAGTGCGCACAGTGATTGTTTTGCTTCCAAATTTTGTCAAGCCTAACCTTACCAAACTTAAAAGGCGCCGGCGTCCTGCTTCGGAGCGGGACAAAATCTTGTCAGGTGTTAAAACTGTCAGATTTTTTTAGCACATACATTAAAATGTACGTGCCATGGTCCAGTAAATTTAATCTCGCTTTGATCTTCCTTTTATCTTTGATCTCGCCATGTGATTGACACTTTGTGGTCAACAAATATTTTACCGTTTTTGAGTGCGCCCAGATTACCAAATTGAAAACTGGACGGAGCCAATTTTTGTCGAGGTTATTGGTAGAGCCAAACAAATTTTGTCAGGTTAGTGCCTACAGATCCTAAGTGTAAAATTTCGCCCTGTTCTTCTAGTTATAATAAGAGCAATGCTTTTTGTGATGACAACATCTCAGCTGTTTGTACTTTTGCTCGTGTTTATGATGAGTGACAAAACGTTTCCTCTTGCTCGGCAGGTATCTGCAGTTCGAGAAGGCATGGCACGAGTAGTCCCAGTTCCCTTGCTGTCATTATTTACCGGCCCTGAACTGGAGACGATGGTATGCGGCAGTCCCGACATTCCTCTGGACCTGTTGAAGTCCGTGGTGACGTACAAGGGAGTGGACGCTAATGCGCCATTGGTTCGTTGGTTCTGGGAGACACTGGAGAGTTTCTCTAACGCTGAGCGATCTCTGTTCCTTCGGTTCGTATGGGGGCGAACTCGCCTGCCTCGAACTATCGTGGATTTCCGTGGCAGGGATTTCGTATTTCAGGTAAACTGTACAATGCCTGACAGATGTCCTGTGCAGGTTGTCATTTCTTAGACTTTACCAACACTACTACAGGCCGTTGTCAATGTTAAACTAGTGAATGCGTGCTGAAGTTTCAAAACACTGGTTGAGCGTTGCAGTGCTTTCTTTGAAACAGGTGTAGTTACTTCATACTGGCGAATACAACAGGAGGCAGCGTCGACGAGTTTTAAGGGCGCCGGACTTGAAATCCGGAGGTCGCGGGTTTAATTCCCGCTCTGACTACTTAGCTGGAGTTTTTTCTCGGTAGACCCTAATTCAACTCCTTGGTCATGCTCAGTTGTAAATAGCCAACCGATCTACTTCCCGCCAGTTGGAAGGTTTAAGCCTATTTTGTGAAAAGCAGTTCGTGGCAAGTCTGACGCGGTGTTTCCTCTCGGCCAAGAGACTCTTCAGAGACCTTTCAGAATTCAACAGCAAACTCGTTGATATGTTTAGTTGATATATTTGTTTCTTTCAGTTTAAGTGGCATGCCTGTGAACTTGTAGGTGTGGCGAAGCGCATTGACTACTCTAAACAACAACATTTGAACATTTTTTTAACAACTTCGCATATATTATCCATATCTTATAGACAAATAATCTCAACTATAACTGCGAAAAGTTTCGCCTTCCACGTCACTGGCTCTCATTGTGCTTTCTGTAAAAATTGACCCAACAATATAGCAAAATGAGTGGGTTGTTTAAACTCAGAATTCTGCATGTTTTTTGTTTCAGGTGCTTGACAAATACTCTCCCCCAGACCACTACCTGCCGGAATCCTACACCTGTTTCTTTCTTCTGAAGATGCCGCGATACTCGTGTCAGCGGGTGCTCTGCGAGAAGCTGAAGTACGCTATTCACTTTTGCAAGTCGATTGATTCGGACGATTACGCCAGAATTGACCTTACTGGCGAACAGGCCGAGGAATACGATACTGATGTCGAGGCATTTTAGTTTTGAGCCGTTTAAGGAAATTCCCAAAATGCAATGAGACGATCGCTAACGACACGTCATATGACAATGTGCCGTAACCACGACAGCCGCCATGTTGGTTTTCAAATTTCAATGAAGAGTAACGATTTTTTTTTTCCTTTGAAGTAATCATGGTGTTAAAAGTCTAGTATGTCTGTTGTTTTTTTTTCTTTCTTTTTTTTTTTTTTTTTTTTNTTAAATACAATTTGACATTTTATTGGGAAGCAATTTTGCAAGCAAAAATGCATCTCGGCTCGTGAAAAACGCAAGTAAAGCATCGATATATTTTGTTAAAACTCGCCTTTAGATCAGCGTATCAGTAAGGAAGCTGGTTAAAAATTCTTAAAATTAACTTGCTAATATAGTTGCTCGCTCGTTCGCTCAGAAAACGAACAAGAACAAACAACAAACAATGCAATATGAAAACCATCCAGGCGCGCTACCTAAAGTATGACGACCTGTTGTGGCTGGATCATGTGATCAGCATTAACCAACCGCGTGCCATACAAGCTGGAGGTTCCAGACAACTCCACCTGCTTCCTCAGGTGCACGTGCGGAAGAAAGTTCTCGCCAATAGGAGGAACTAAACTCTCTTAAAGGATGTGTTGTTTTGTATCTGTTGAAGATGCGATATCTTTGTAAGTAGTTTCACGTTCTCGTGTGGTAGTCGACTAAAAGTCTTCAATGTAAATTATAATGATAGGCAAGAATTTTGAGAAGAAAAGAAAACGGAGAATCGAAATGTTTTTAGCTCGAGAATATTATAATGCGCACTAAGTTATTTGAATCTTTGAATTATTTTTTGAAAATGGTATTTGCCACACAGGCAGTAGTTTAATTTATTTCTCTAAATTTTTTTAATTGTTTTCTTCCTTGTAAATTAGTGCAATAAATATGAGTGACAGGAGTTACATTACGTTAAAAAAAAGTATTGGTAGTTTAACTTCGCAGTTTGTCTCCCTAATCCCAGAATCGTGAATTCATTTGTAGCTCGTGTCACAGAATCGTCTCATATATCCAGCTTAAAATATTTCAACAATAGTTTTAAGTATAGCAATAATAGACAGATAAACAAAGGCGTTATTTTCCCGGTGATTAAAAAAGATAGATTAAATTAATCCTGCTAAACCAGGTCCAGAAGTATTATAACATCGCAGATATATGAAATTGGGCGAAACACAACCCAAGTTTTCAATGGATCTAATGAAGTAAAGGCTACAAAGGCCGGCCTTTTCTCTCTTTTATTCATACCTAGTATAAACTTAAACTACCTGAAAAGCCTATTCGAGGCACTGCAAAATTATAAAGCTGGAGCCAGCTGCACTCCTTTAAGTAACTTCAACTTAATTAAGTAAACTCGTCTACTCTTTTGACAACCAAGTGCGAAAACTGGCATATAGCCCCATGCATATAGCTCCCTTTTCAGCCAGGGTTCTTGCACACAGTAGCTTTCACTGTAGAGTTTTCCCTGGCATGTAAAAATATAATCCCACTGATAATTTCGTTGATACTGTTGTATTCAAGGAACATTCTAACAGAGTGTACAGATCAAAAATTGAATCGAACCATTTTCACGGCTCGATTTTGGGGTTTGTTGTCGTTTTCGTTTAAAAATCGAACTCTCAAGAAGATGTACCATTGCCAAACAAAATCGAACTCGGCCTCGAACTCATTTCTTTGGTTCAGAACTTTCCTTGAATTCGACTTCGTTCAATGGCTTAATCTAAACCATTGAGGTTACATTTCACGTAAAGATTATAAAAGTTCGATTTTGTCATGTGCAAGTCGCTACCATTTTACACACACTATGCGACGGACAAGCTTTTATTTCCAACGTCGGTCGAAAAATGAGCGCAAAAAAAATTAAGTCTTTTCATAGTATAATTGACTTCGATTGAATGTGCTCTTTTATCCATGCGTACAAAGCTGCTGTAATTTAAAAAAAAGAAATGACAACAACACAAAGCGATGTTTGCTTTTCACAGGTAAAATGGCAAATTAGCTGTTCAACATTTGGATCGGCTTTGTTTTTCTACCGTTCAATGAATAAAATTATCAAATTCTGTAATAACCACAGGGAAACTTAAACGTCGTTAATTTACCATTTAGATCGGTTATGCAATTAGAGGATTATTTCCCAAGGAGACAGCAGGTTTAGAACCTTTTTCTCATCTGCCATAAAAAAATTTTCGATTATTATTTTCAGCAAATGTCGCTTTCAGCAAAAAGGCTTATTCTAAAAAGCTTTGGAGCTCAATTTCCTCGCAATCTGCACAGTCGCTTTGGAAAAGCTGTAATTAACTGTGCGACATTGCAGAACTGTTTGTTTACTCGAAGGATTTAATAACAAAACTTTCACAAGCTGTTTTCTCGTTTGATGTCACTTAGTTTATTTAGTTTCGGGGTTTGGACAGCGTTCGGTCTGAGTGGTGGTGATTAAAAGCGACAACGACAGGCGATTTCTTTTCTGTTTTCACCGCCGAAGCCTTTCTGGGAAATGGAACAGAATTGACAACGTAACATGCTTGATTGACGCGGATGAAAAATATGGCAGTCTTAGAGGACGTTAATCCTTTCTAAATTTGCAATTGCTTTGCATGAAGAAAGCTCGGAAACTACTGAATGCAAATAGGGCGCTAAGAACAAACGTTTTCAGGGAAGATTATTAAAAGCCGCGACGGCGTCGAATACTGATAAAACTTTGAAGAGGCAAAACCGTGAAACAGCACAATTCGTCACTGAGGAAACCATTCAAGTGCATGACTGACGTGCGACACTTCGAAAGACCAACACAGCTTCAAACTGCAAACACGCCAGGCTCAGTTTGACTTGTTTCGCCGAGAAAAATTATTTCACCAGACATGGAAGCTAGTGGAAGTAAACCAAAAACCAAGATCCACAAGCCCGGAATATCCAAGAACTTTACAGCTAATAGCCACCAAGAAACTTCACGGAATCGTATTTTGGCCAGGAGGGATTCAACGCCTGAACTTGGAGTAAACAGTTTATCATTTCGACCTGAAAACAGAACTTCGTCGACTGAAGTTCCATCCTACAACCTGTGGAAATCACGTCTCGACCGCAGGAATTCTTTACCCAATTGCATGTCCTTTGGACAAAGAAAAAATTCAACCTCCTCCGGGGTTTTCGTCCCTTCTGTGTTCACGCGTGAAACGAAAGGACTTCGGAAATATACCACTTCTCTAGGAAGCGCAATCAACGAGATCGATGACCAAAGGATTGAGGAAAAAGCTGGGAATGATGGTGATGTAAAGGATGTAGTAACAAACAGGATTGCAGTTTTGTCAAAAGAAAAAACTTGGCAACAGATTTTTAGCCGGGAAAGCTCAGCCATAAGCCGAGGAGCAAGGTCGTATTGCGCCGACTCTGTTTCCACCGTAAGGTGTACCAGCACGGAACCTCCGTCAGCAAGGCGAGGCGAAAGACAGCAGGCTTACTATGCAAAAAACGACAGAATAAAACGCTGGCTTAGTGAAGTGGAATAAATAAATTCTGTACTGGAAAATTTAAATTTTCTTCTGGAAATCATTAACCAATACCCGCGGATTAACTCGCGCTGGCTCGTGAATGATTGTGTTATAAAAATCAGCTACTCGTAATTTCGACATGAAAATTAAGTACTATACTGAGGTTCGTGTACACTACGCCGGAGAAATTTGAAAACGCACAATTATTTCTACGGTTAGGCCAACCGTGCGTCCACACTAATCCGTCACGAAAACGGAGCCTTTCGGAAACGCTCTTGAAACCGGAAGAACGTGAAAAGGCACTCCAGGCTGTTCGTTTTCGAATGGACAGAAACACATTTTGAAAACAGAGCCTTATGAAAACGATTACCTTACGATAATTAGGTGATTTCCCTGCCCAAGCGTTTTTGAATCACAAATCCAAAATGGCCGGTGATTGATGCGCTTTTAAATTCCTTTTCGGCGAAGTGTGGACGGAAAACATTTGATGCGCTTTCAGACTAAAAGCTCTGTTTTCAAATCCGTCCGGCGTAGTGTGGTCTGGGCCTGAAAGGGACACCAAACCTGAATCGCAATGTGTGTAGTATAGAGGTTTTGCACTTAAACTTGCCTTTTATCAATATAATTACCTTAAGCTATCTTTCGCCCGATCTATTTGAAAAAAAGCGCAAGAAAATAAATCATGAAAATTTGTCAAATCTTTCAAACGTGTCCTCAAAAACAATTCATTAGTAAGTGAGATCACGTTTTCAATCCATGGATTACCGTGTTTGGTCATGGATTCATTCCTGAGCTAAACTGACGACAACAACAATGGAAAAAGTTCAACGATCACGTAAACTTTTGCATTACGAAAAAAAATCCTAGAAAATTTTGCTTTTTGAATGCAATTAAAAAACTGTGTTTTAGCCGTTGTTTTCAGGACAGATTTTTGGACAGACTGTACTGAAGTTACATTTGAATTTAACTTCGCCACCAGGGAACAAGACAAACATTTGGAGTACATCTCATTCTGTCAGTGCAAGGCTTTATAAAGGGTATTTTTGCGTCTATTAAGATTCCAATCTACAGCATTTCTTAACTTCAGCCATAAATGTAAATTTGAATGTTACTGGCAGTTGAAAAGAATAAGAAAAGCGGATATCGATCGCTATCGATCGATATCGATTTATGCAAAGCATATTTTATGTGAGGTTATCTTATCTATTTAAAATCTGAAACGTAATGTTAAAGGACTTATGGCATGAGATCAGCTCGTCTTCGAGTGTCAAAATATCAAGTAAAGATACCGTAAACTGAACAAAATAGATCTTTAGATGTTCGACCTCTGTCTAACACCCTTACCTATACATCCCTCTTATTATGTGAAATCTCTTCCTGTTTGCTGTTAGCTTAGTTCAGGTCGCGCCAACAGACATGCCAATAAAACAACTCCAAGATGAATCACGTAAACTTTAACATAGCAAAAAATGAAGAAGACAGCTTTCAAGATAACACATATATCACTTTTATGCCGTTTTCACAGACCCGCTCTTGATCCGGCGCTCTACGTGGTAGAGAAAAGCGGTGAAAACTCGTGTGACCCGATCACGTTATTGTTTCTGGTTTTGCACGTGATTTCACAAAATCTTAGCACGTTCTGATTAATTTTAGCCAAAATCTCTTCGCCAGCCCTATCACATGATCGATATAATTAAACAAAAGTCGTTAAGTTAAACTGTAACAACATGGCACTCAATTAGCGATAAACCCAAAAACGCCAATGATTTCTACACTTTCTAAAACGCCTTAGAATAGAAGAGATTGTAGAAGTTTGCAATCCAGCTTTCCACGATTTAACCCAGCAAATTTTCTTTTATTCTCGTTTAGTCCTGAGTAAATCACGCATCGCTTTTTGTTCCTCTTAGAAGTACAAAAGATAACTTGGAACAAACGGCACGAACCTACATGACATAATAATATAAACCATTTTCCTAACCTATTCCCTTCGGAATGTGATTCACAGTGATCCAAAGATAAAATGAGGCAGTTAG